ACCTCACCTAAACCTAATTACCTCCTAATGACCCCATCTCCAAATACCATCACACTGGGGATTAGGGCTTCAGCCTATGAACTTTTGGGCATATAAATGTATGGTCCATATGACTCTGTAAAATGATGATTATTCATCCTCTGAGGGGATTTAGACCCTCCCACCCCAGTTCCCATCACCCTGTGGGTACAAATGAAGCCACATTAATCAATCTCGTATCTGCTAGCTGTGAATCTATAAACCAATTGGGGCTTAAAATAATGTTCCTGAGCTACAGACCAGCATCTCTGTCACCATAGTGGTCCTTCGTGCTCTGGTCCCCTGTGTCCCAGCATGCGCACTACATCAGGACGGAAAGTTCCATTGGCTGTTGGGCTTGAAGTCGCTGGTGCGGTGGCCCAGGCAGAGCTGTGGCCCCACTTCCCAAAATGCACTAGTTCACTGCGACGTGCGTTCCCTGGCTCCTCTGTCCGGCCTCAGTGGCCCCGTGTAATATGTGGCCTCTCTTAAGCCCCACAGAAAACCAGGTTTGCATCCCATGAAGCTGTAGATGTGTCCATCTCCTGTGTCCCACAGTGCCCCATACCCAGGGTCCCATCATGCTCTGGGCAATGTCCGCCACCAAGGTTCCCTAACAATTGACCAACGGAGCCCTAGCCGGTTTGGCTCAGTGGATAGAGCGTCTGCCTGCGGACTGAAGTCACGGGTTCGATTCCGCTCAAGGGCACATGCCTGGGTTGTGGGCTCGATCCCTCATAGGGGGTGTGCAGGAGGCAGACTATCAATGATTCTCTCTCATCATTGATGTTTCTCTCTCTCTCCCTCTCCCTTCCTCTCTGAAATCAATAAAAAAATATTTAAAAATTGACCCATGGAACCTGTGCTGGATTCTAAAATGTCCACAAATTGACATTCTCTTCAAAATGCCTCTAAATTCAACCGTCTAAACTGCTTGCCCCTCCCCTGACCCTAATCACCAGAGCCCGGTGTCCCCCCTACCCCTGCTGCCCACAGCTCAGTCTTCCCACCCCGCGCCCGGGGCTCCCGCCCCCTCTGTCCACTGAGCCAAACCGGCTAGGGCAGATTTGTTCAGCTTTTATTCAGCTTCCTTGCTAAACTCACTGATGTTTAATAATTTATTCCATTGGGTTCTTTATGATTATATGTATAATTATGACATCTCAGAATTCTTTTTCTCTGCCCTTATATTCTTTCTCTTCTTACCTTTCTGCAATGTGTTAGAATACGGATTACGTTTGAAGGAGAAGAAAAGGGTAATGATTGTGAGGGGACATGAGGAAGGATTCAGCGGGTGCTATAAACTGGATTTTTAAATCTTGGTGGTGGTTACAGGAACATGTCTATTTCATGATAATTCATGGAGCTTTTAAAAGTATATTTTTTATTGATTTCAGAGCATAAGGAGAGAGAGAGAGAACCATCCATGATGAGAGAGAATCATTGATTGGCTGCCTCCTACAGGCCCCCCCACTGGGGATTGAGCCCGAAACCCCGGCATGTGCCCTGACTGGGAATCGAACTGTGACCTCCTGGTTCATAGGTCAGTGCTCAACCACTGATCCACACTGGCTGGGCTCATGGAGCTTTTCATTTGTGAACTTTTCTGTTTATATTATACTTTGAGTAAAAGCTTAAAATAGCACTACTGTGGCAGTTTAAAAATATGCCCACAAATTGACAGTCTCTTTAAAATATGTCTGCAAATGCTCTGACACACCCCCTGAGTAAGATTTGGATTCAATTCCAAGGAACATAAAAAGGGGAAATGATACCATGTGACTTGGGAGCCTAGGTCACCAAAGTCACTTGTTCTCTCTCAGACTGCTGCTCTGGGAGAGGCGAGCTGGCC